CTCTTATGTGGGTAGCCTTAGTCTTATTTAGAATTTGTATATGGAGGCTATTGGAGAGATGATGTTCTATATGTATTCCTGGAGGATCTTTCAGAAGTGGTCGATAGGATGTTGGGTCATTGAAAAGAGGATGGTGAGCATTAAAATCTCCTCCAAGGAGGATGGGACTATTTTCTGCTATACTGAAAAGTTCATCTAATTCCAGAATACAATTGTTTCTAGGGGACGTAGCAATTGTAAATATCTATGATTTCTTCCTGTAAATGAATTGATATAGCTAAAGATTCTATATTGTGGCCTAGGGTTGCTGGTTGTTTAGTTATATGGCTAGGTATGGAGTTTTTAACCAGTGTCATCAGCCCTCTGGGACCTCTCCTAGAATAGGAAGTTGTATAGATTTGATATCCTGGGAATTTTATATTAATTCCTTCGTAAATGGTTTCTTGTAGAATTGCAATGTCAATCTGATCCCTGTAAAGGGAGTCCTTAAGAAAAGGTAGGTGATTCCTTAATCCACCTATGTTCCATTGCAATATTTTAATTGGTTTGTTCTTAGTATCCATAGTCGTTTTTGTTATTGTTCTTAGTTCTGTTGTTTGTAGGAGAAGGAATTTCTATTCTTGGAGGAGAAGTTTCTGCTAAGCTTTCATTTTGACTACTGTGTGCAAATATTTCTAGATTAGGATGTTTCTTTTTAGCTGTTCCAGAGGTTCCTCTGTGAATTCTACTACATCAACCTCTGAGAGAGAGAATGATGCTTCTGGTGAGGAAGGATTTAAATCTAAGGAGGGTACTTGGGTCTTGATAATGTTTGGTAGATTTGTCATTATCGAATTAAAATTGCTGATCAATTGGACCAAACGATTAATCATTTGGTTGGCTTGTTCCATTATTCGTTCTAATGAGGAAGTAAGAGTATCAATATTCTTTGAGTAGGTTTCTGAGGGAGGTGCAACGGAAGGAGTACTCTGTGAATCTGAAGGTCTTTCTTGGATGGGGTGTATTGTCTCTGTCGAAGAATTTGTGACTACTTTTGAGTATAGTCTATTTGAGTTTGTAATTTTCTTTGTAAAATTCTTCGAGGCAACTGGTGTCCGGTTCTGATCAGGATTCCCATTGTAAATTGATTGGGATTTTGGTGGAATTGAACTTGGGACAAAGTCAGGTTTATTTGGCTTTTGTAGTCTAATATGCCTTTCAGGGCATTTGAGGGACCAGGCATGGTGATGGCTCTGGCAGTTTGGGCATTTTGCCTGAACATTTTCTCCTTTTTTATACTTTTCTAAACATTGGCTAGTATCATGTAGTTTGGAGCAGATGGCACACCTAGCAGGAGCTCTACACTGTTCTTTGTGGTGTCCGAATCTTTGGCATTTAAAACATCTGAGAGGCTCAGGTATGTAGGTTCTGGTTTTAAATGAACCTAGATTTCTGATTTCAAAGGTTTTTGGAATTTCTCCCTTGACAGAGAGTAAAATCTGTCTTGTTTCCAATTTTGTTAATCGTGATACAAGTCTCTTTGCCGAGGTGATATTAGGGATATCTAGCAGAATATCCACCGGAAATTCCATAGGAAATCCTACCAGAATTGTTTTCTTGATTTCCTCTTCCGGAATGAGTCTCTCCAAATCAACTAACTTGTTGGTGGAGAGGAGTTTTACTGAAAGAGGAATTTTGCAGTGTCGACTGTTTTTGGTGTGAGTAGGAAGGTACTCCTTTGTGTTACCTTGGTGGCAACTGCAAGGTCTTTCTTTTCTTGTTCCAGGGCTACCAGTGCACTGTATGCAGTGGGAAAATCTGTATTTGGTTTAAGAACAAATTTCATTTGTTTAAAGTTTCAAAGTCAGGAGAGTTGTCTGTTTCAGGTGGCATATTTGGTGCCAAATCATGATGGTCCATGGGTTCAAGTTCTTCAGAGAACACGTTCATCTGTGTTTCCGAGTTTTCTGCATTTACTTTCGCTTTCTTTGAGGGAGCGGAGTCTTTTGTATTAGATACTGATGCAATTTCTTCCTCCTCTGAGGTAGAGTTGGAACTAATCGACTTCTTACGCTTGTCCTTTGACAAGGCAGCATTTTAAATTTCTGTTGTTATGTCTATTTCTACATCTTGTAGGGTATCAGAGTTAGTTGGTTCACTTTTAGTCAATTTCTTTTCCATAGTTGCATTGGATGATGTTTCAGACATCCTTCTCTCTTCTGGCCTCACCATAGGAGAGTTGGTGTTTTCTTCTTTTTTTTCCTTTGATTTCATTTCCTAAGAGAGCCTAATCCTACCTATAACCGGTTTTACTAACCTAGTGCGGGCTGTCTCTGACTCGTCGTTATGGTCAACAGCGTTTCCGCTACCGGATAAGTCTGTATGTAAAGAGAAATAAAACCCTTCTCACTGGCTTAAAGCAGTCCTACCTAAGGACCCCCCTCGTGGCACTGCCCTCGGGGTTCACCTTCACCAGTGAGGGGACTCTAATAAACGGCTCACAACCTAGACTGACAACCTAATAACAACCTGACATACAACCTGATAACCTAACAACATCTCGTTGTTTGATTCTGCTAACTCTAGCTAGCTATGGAAGGCTCTTCTATTTCTATCTCTAGCTGGTCCTGAAAAGCTCTTCTATTTCTATCTCTAGCTGGATCTGGAAAGCTCTTCTATCTTTATTCCTAGCTAGTTCTGTAGAGTTGATAATAAAGTCTTCCGGTTAGGTAAACGGCAGCGCCAACATCGGCTGCTCGGCGTATTTGCCAGGGTAATAAACGTAACCTGCAACTTTATTGCCTTGGTAAACGGAGACACCCAGCACTGCTGGATAGGCGTAGTTACCCTCGGAGACAGTTACTTCTTCTTACTTGGCAAGAACCTAACCTTGAAGAGAGAGATCCGCCCTGGCAAACCCTAGCAATGGTACCTGTTCCCTACCCTCGCGTAGCGCTCAGGCTTGCCGCATCAAAGCGGCCGCTCATCTTAACCGCCCGCTCTAAGCAAATAAACTTGTTTACACCTTCCAATCCATCAAAAGTCACCTGACCATTACACGCATATGTTTGCAATCACCTTGTTGATGACATCATGTATTAATTGTCCCATTTCTCATCAAGGATTTCCTTTGATCACAGGTAAAGTTGGCCAGGTCTCTGGTCCTGCTTACACCGGGGAAATGGGCGGCGCCAACGCACACTGTGCCAGCCACACACTTCTCCGCACGGCCAAGCCCGCTCTGTATAAATTCAGCTCTTGAAAAGCCGGCCAGACTGTTTCAAACAAACAATCATTCGCAATGGCGTACCAAGCAGACTGCCCGCAAGTCTACCGGAGGCAAGGCCCCCCGCAAGCAGCTGGCCACCAAGGCAGCACGTAAGTCTGCCCCTGCTACCGGAGGTGTCAAGAAGCCCCATCGTTACAGGCCTGGTACTGTTGCCCTTCGTGAGATCCGTCGTTACCAGAAGAGCACTGAGCTCCTCATCCGCAAGCTGCCCTTCCAGCGCCTCGTCCGTGAGATTGCCAGGACTTCAAGACTGACCTCCGCTTCCAGTCCTCTGCTGTCATGGCTCTGCAGGAAGCCTCCGAGGCTTACCTGGTCGGCCTCTTCGAGGACACCAACCTGTGCGCCATCCACGCCAAGCGTGTAACCATTATGCCCAAGGATATCCAACTTGCTCGCCGTATCCGCGGAGAGCGCGCCTAAGATTTTGGTTGCTAGCTTGCTTGCATACATCAAAATCATCCTCCTCGGCCCTTTTCAGGGCCTAAACTAATCAATATTGAGATGAAAACATGACATGCTTCCTTTTTTCTTGTTTGCTTTAGTTTTAGATGTCAAATGTAACCAGCAATGACGATTAGAATCAATGACATTGCATAGATAGATAGATAGGTATGCAACTAGTAAGGTAAGGCACGAAGCCATGCATGACTGACTTTCAACATGTTGTCAACGCACTTGATTTCCTTATCGTATACGTTTCGGTATGAATACTATGCCAAATATTAAATACTACAACAATATACATTGTAATATTTGTCGAGCGACCGACCGGCAAACAGACATACAGACACACACTGTCTTCAACATAAGTCATTACTAAAATATAATAATAATGTGACTAACAGACTGACTAAAATATTGACTATATGTTAATGACTGACTTCAAAGTTCAACAAACAAACACACAATATACAACAAAACACTACAATCACCAAACACCCCACCTAACCTACCTCAACCAATATATTATATAATATTTTATAGAAAACACTAAGAAATATACAATTACAAATCAAAGCTTGCGGCAACCATTAAAGCACGTGCTTATATCCCCGCATATTTATCTTGTTTGCTTGTTTATGTGTATAATAATAATGTTATATAACATTGAAGATCGAATGACACATGCTTTTTTATATATTATAAATCAATATAATGTCTTGACAATTATACAAATCTATCTATCTATCTATATAATATACACACACACACCTACAATATATATATTATATATATAATTATGTATATATAACTATATACATAATATATGAAATAATATATATATATCTGTATACATATACACATGTATGTCTAATATAAATCTATTCACCCACTCTCTGTCTCTTACATTAATACATACCCTATTCATTGATATGTCATGATAATGCATGTGGTATATTTCTAATTATGGAAGACATATATGTTACTATGATATACAGGCATATATATACTTTCAACATATATTTCTATACATATATATATATTCACACACAGCTTTCATCTCTCTCTCTCTCTCTCTCTCTCGTATATCATACACACACTTCCTCTATCCTTAATCATACAGACAGACAACACACACACACTTCAGTAAAAACGATGAAAATGAATCCCTTACTCGAAATCTAACGATTCAAACGAATATTACATTGATATATATGTTGATATTACTGTACTTTGAAAGAATGCACAAGGCAAATTGGTTAATGTCATTTCTATCTACTTTTGCATGTTCTGTGGCTCCTAAAGGAGCCGATGTTGTTGTAGGAGACCGGAGAAACCGAGCAACCAAGCAATTTACTTAGAGGAAGTGTACTTGGTGACGGCCTTGGTGCCCTCGCTGACAGCGTGCTTGGCCAGTTCACCGGGGAGCAGAAGCCTGACGGCGGTCTGAATCTCCCGGCTGGTGATGGTGGAACGCTTGTTGTAGTGGGCAAGGCGGGAAGCCTCAGCGGCAATGCGCTCAAAAATGTCATTCACGAAAGAATTCATGATGGACATGGCCTTGGAGGAGATACCGGTGTCAGGGTGGACCTGCTTCAACACCTTGTAGATGTAGATGCTGTAGCTCTCCTTCCTCCTGCGCTTCTTCTTCTTATCACCCTTGGTGATAGACTTTTGGGCCTTACCGGCCTTCTTGGCAGCCTTTCCGGAAGTCTTGGGGGCATGATTGACAACACTCGCAAGAGGTATTGCTATAAACTCCAAACTATGATTTTTCCTTTTATAGTGCACCAGCGCCAGCCTCGGCTGGCCAAGGAAAGCGTGGGCCACGCTATTGGCTCAATCCCCGGCCATCCCGCATTGCCACATGTCCCAATGAGACCGTTTCACCTGGAGCCACCTATAAATACCAAGCTTTGCCCGTCGCAACTATGATTTTTGATTCTTTTGAGCAAAGTCATAGCAAACTATCAACATGTCTGGTCGTGGTAAGGGCGGTAAGGTAAAGGGCAAGTCAAAGTCCCGCTCAAGCAGGGCCGGCCTTCAGTTCCCCGTCGGTAGGATTCACCGCCTTCTGCGTAAGGGCAACTATGCTGAACGTGTAGGTGCTGGTGCCCCTGTGTACCTCGCAGCCGTTATGGAGTACTTGGCTGCTGAAGTCCTCGAGTTGGCAGGTAATGCCGCCCGTGACAACAAGAAGACCCGTATCATCCCCCGTCACTTGCAGCTGGCCATCCGTAACGACGAAGAGCTCAACAAGCTCCTCTCTGGCGTTACCATCGCCCAGGGTGGTGTCCTGCCCAACATCCAGGCTGTGCTCCTCCCCAAGAAGACCGAGAAGAAGTAAATACTTTCCGTATTACCTCTTTTCAACTACATCGGCTCCTTTTGGAGCCACAAAGACTAAATAAGAGAAATATCTGACCAAACCAACCAGCAACCAAGCAAACCAAACCAATAAATATTCCTGTTATGTTATCTAGACTAGCAATAATGGAACTCACAATAAAATACCCACTGTCGATACAATAATGTAGTGAACGCTATCACTCATACATTGAAACTGAGCAAAATTGCAACCAAACAATACAATACAGGAAACCCATTTCATATACAACTCCCTTGCACTTCGAAACTTTATTTTATATATGTATGTATGTATGTATGTATAAACAAACATATGCAATATGTGTGTGAGTGCGCGTGCGTTTGCGTTAGTATAGAAATACTACTAAATATAATTACACGTATTATTTTATATATATCACTCATTATTTAGTAGTCATTTCTATACTAACGCAACGCACGCGCCCTCACACACATATTGCATATGTTTGTTTATACATACATACATACATACATATATAAAATAAAGTTTCGAAGTGCAAGGGAGTTGTATATGAAATGGGTTTCCTGTATTGTATTGTTTGGTTGCAATTTTGCTCAGTTTCAATGTATGAGTGATAGCGTTCACTACATTATTGTATCGACAGTGGGTATTTTATTGTGAGTTCCATTATTGCTAGTCTAGATAACATAACAGGAATATTTATTGGTTTGGTTTGCTTGGTTGCTGGTTGGTTTGGTCAGATATTTCTCTTATTTAGTCTTTGTGGCTCCAAAAGGAGCCGATGTAGTTGAAAAGAGGTAATACGGAAAGTATTTACTTCTTCTCGGTCTTCTTGGGGAGGAGCACAGCCTGGATGTTGGGCAGGACACCACCCTGGGCGATGGTAACGCCAGAGAGGAGCTTGTTGAGCTCTTCGTCGTTACGGATGGCCAGCTGCAAGTGACGGGGGATGATACGGGTCTTCTTGTTGTCACGGGCGGCATTACCTGCCAACTCGAGGACTTCAGCAGCCAAGTACTCCATAACGGCAGCGAGGTACACAGGGGCACCAGCACCTACACGTTCAGCATAGTTGCCCTTACGCAGAAGGCGGTGAATCCTACCGACGGGGAACTGAAGGCCGGCCCTGCTTGAGCGGGACTTTGACTTGCCCTTTACCTTACCGCCCTTACCACGACCAGACATGTTGATAGTTTGCTATGACTTTGCTCAAAAGAATCAAAAATCATAGTTGCGACGGGCAAAGCTTGGTATTTATAGGTGGCTCCAGGTGAAACGGTCTCATTGGGACATGTGGCAATGCGGGATGGCCGGGGATTGAGCCAATAGCGTGGCCCACGCTTTCCTTGGCCAGCCGAGGCTGGCGCTGGTGGTGCACTATAAAAGGAAAAATCATAGTTTGGAGTTTATAGCAATACCTCTTGCGAGTGTTGTCAATCATGCCACCCAAGACTTCCGGAAAGGCTGCCAAGAAGGCCGGTAAGGCCCAAAAGTCTATCACCAAGGGTGATAAGAAGAAGAAGCGCAGGAGGAAGGAGAGCTACAGCATCTACATCTACAAGGTGTTGAAGCAGGTCCACCCTGACACCGGTATCTCCTCCAAGGCCATGTCCATCATGAATTCTTTCGTGAATGACATTTTTGAGCGCATTGCCGCTGAGGCTTCCCGCCTTGCCCACTACAACAAGCGTTCCACCATCACCAGCCGGGAGATTCAGACCGCCGTCAGGCTTCTGCTCCCCGGTGAACTGGCCAAGCACGCTGTCAGCGAGGGCACCAAGGCCGTCACCAAGTACACTTCCTCTAAGTAAATTGCTTGGTTGCTCGGTTTTTCCGGTCTCCTACAACAACATCGGCTCCTTTAGGAGCCACAGAACATGCAAAAGTAGATAGAAATGACATTAACCATTTGCCTTGTGCATTCTTTCAAAGTACAGTAATATCAACATATATATCAATGTAATATTCGTTTGAATCGTTAGATTTCGAGTAAGGGATTCATTTTTAATCGTTTTTACTGAAGTGTGTGTGTTTGTCTGTCTGTATGATTAAGGATAGAGGAAGTGTGTGTATGATATACGAGAGAGAGAGAGAGAGATGAAAGCTGTGTGTGAATATATATATAGATGTATAGAAATATATGTTGAAAGTATATATATGCCTGTATATCATAGTAACATATATGTCTTCCATAATTAGAAATATACACATGCATTTTTCATGACATATCAATGAATAGGGTATGTATTAATGTAAGAGACAGAGAGTGGGTGAATAGATTTATATTAGACATACACGTGTATATGTATACAGTATATATATATATTTCATATATTATGTATATAGTTAGACATATATACATACATTATATATATAATATATAAATATGTTGTAGTGTGTGTGTGTATATTATATAGATAGATAGATAGATTGTATAATTGTCAAGACATTATATTGATTTATAATATATAAAAAGCATGTGTCATTCGATCTTCAATGTTATATAACATTATTATTATACACATAACAAGCAAACAAGATCAAATATGCGGGGATATAACCACGTGCTTTAATGGTTGGCGCAAGCTTTGATTTGTAATTGTATATTTCTTAGTGTTTTTATATAAAATATTATATAATATATTGGTTGAGGTAGGTTAGGTGGGGTGTTTGGTGATTGTAGTGTTTTGTGTTAGACAAAGTGTGTGTTTGTTTGTTGAACTTTGAAGTCAGTCATTAACATATAGTCAATATTTTAGTCAGTCTGTTAGTCACATTATTATTATATTTAGTAATGACTTATGTTTAAGACAGTGTGTGTCTGTATGTCTGTTTGCCGGTCGGTCGCTCGACAAATATTACAATGTATATTGTTGTAGTATTTAATATTTGGCATAGTACTCATACCGAAACGTATACGATAAGGAAATCAAGTGCGTTGACAACATGTTGAAAGTCAGTCATGCATGGCTTCGTGCCTTACCTTACTAGTTGCATACCTATCTATCTATCTATGCAATGTCATTGATTCTAATCGTCATTGCTGGTTACATTTGACATCTAAAACTAAAGCAAACAAGAAAAAAAGGAAGCATGTCATGTTTTCATCTCAATATTGATTAGTTTAGGCCCTGAAAAGGGCCGAGGAGGATGATTTTGATGTATGCAAGCAAGCTAGCAACCAAAATCTTAGGCGCGCTCTCCGCGGATACGGCGAGCAAGTTGGATATCCTTGGGCATAATGGTTACACGCTTGGCGTGGATGGCGCACAGGTTGGTGTCCTCGAAGAGGCCGACCAGGTAAGCCTCGGAGGCTTCCTGCAGAGCCATGACAGCAGAGGACTGGAAGCGGAGGTCAGTCTTGAAGTCCTGGGCAATCTCACGGACGAGGCGCTGGAAGGGCAGCTTGCGGATGAGGAGCTCAGTGCTCTTCTGGTAACGACGGATCTCACGAAGGGCAACAGTACCAGGCCTGTAACGATGGGGCTTCTTGACACCTCCGGTAGCAGGGGCAGACTTACGTGCTGCCTTGGTGGCCAGCTGCTTGCGGGGGGCCTTGCCTCCGGTAGACTTGCGGGCAGTCTGCTTGGTACGAGCCATTGCGAATGATTGTTTGGAAACAGTCTGGCCGGCTTTTCAAGAGCTGAATTTATACCAGAGCGGGCTTGGCCGTGCGGAGAAGTGTGTGGCTGGCACAGTGTGCGTTGGCGCCGCCCATTTCCCCGGTGTAAGCAGGACCAGAGACCTGGCCAACTTTACCTGTGATCAAAGGAAATCCTTGATGAGAAATGGGACAATTAATACATGATGTCATCAACAAGGTGATTGCAAACATATGCGTGTAATGGGTCAGGTGACTTTTGATGGATTGGAAGGTGTAAACAAGTTTATTTGCTTAGAGCGGGCGGTTAAGATGAGCGGCCGCTTGATGCGGCAAGCCTGAGCGCTACGCGAGGGTAGGGAACAGGTACCATTGCTAGGGTTTGCCAGGGCGGAATCTCTCTCTCTTCAAGGTTAGGTTCTTGCCAAGTAAGAAGAAGTAACTGTCTCCGAGGGTAACTACGCCTATCCAGCAGTGCTGGGTGTCTCCGTTTACCAAGGCAATAAAGTTGCAGGTTACGTTTATTACCCTGGCAAATACGCCGAGAAGCCGATGTTGGCGCTGCCGTTTACCTAACCGGAAGACTTTATTATCAACTCTACAGAACTAGCTAGGAATAAAGATAGAAGAGCTTTCCAGATCCAGCTAGAGATAGAAATAGAAGAGCTTTTCAGGACCAGCTAGAGATAGAAATAGAAGAGCCTTCCATAGCTAGCTAGAGTTAGCAGAATCAAACAACGAGATGTTGTTAGGTTATCAGGTTGTATGTCAGGTTGTTATTAGGTTGTCAGTCTAGGTTGTGAGCCGTTTATTAGAGTCCCCTCACTGGTGAAGGTGAACCCCGAGGGCAGTGCCACGAGGGGGGTCCTTAGGTAGGACTGCTTTAAGCCAGTGAGAAGGGTTTATTTCTCTTTACATACAGACTTATCCGGTAGCGGAAACGCTGTTGACCATAACGACGAGTCAGAGACAGCCCGCACTAGGTTAGTAAAACCGGTTATAGGTAGGATTAGGCTCTCTTAGAAAATGAAATCAAAGGAAAAAAGAAGAAAAAACACCAACTCTCCTATGGTGAGGCCAGAAGAGAGAAGGAATTCTGAAACATCATCCAATGCAACTATGGAAAAGAAATTGACTAAAAGTGAACCAACTAACTCTGATACCCTACAAGATGTAGAAATAGACATAACAACAGAAATTAAAAATGCTGTCTTGTCAAAGGACAAGCGTAAGAAGTCGATTAGCTTCAACTCTACCTCAGAGGAGGAAGAAATTGCATCAGTATCTAATACAAAAGACTCCGCTCCCTCAAAGAAAGCGAAAGTAAATGCAGAAAACTCAGAAACACAGATGAACGTGTTCTCTGAAGAACTTGAACCCATGGACCATCATGATTTGGCACCAAATATGCCACCTGAAACAGACAACTCTCCTGACTTTGACAATTTTAAACAAATGAAATTTGTTCTTAAACCAAATACAGATTTTCCCACTGCATACAGTGCACTGGTAGCCCTGGAAAAAGAAAAGAAAGACCTTGCAGTTGCCACCAAGGTAACACAAAGGAGTACCTTCTTATAACACCAAAAACAGTCGACACTGCAAAATTCCTCTTTTCAGTAAAACTCCTCCACCAACAAGTTAGTTGATTTGGAGAGACTCATTCCGGAAGAGGAAATCAAGAAAACAATCCTGGTAGGATTTCCTATGGAATTTCCGGTGGATATTCTGCTAGATATCCCTAATATCACCTCGGCAAAGAGACTTGTATCACGATTAACAAAATTGGAAACAAGACAGATTTTACTCTCTGTCAAGGGAGAAATTCCAAATACCTTTGAAATCAGAAATCTAGGTTCATTTAAAACCAGAACCTACATACCTGAGCCTCTCAGATGTTTTAAATGCCAAAGATTCGGACACCACAAAGAACAATGTAGAGCTCCTGCTAGGTGTGCCATCTGCTCCAAACTACATGATACTAGCCAATGTTTAGAAAAGTAAAAAAGGAGAAAATGTTCAGGCAAAATGCCCAAACTGCCAGAGCCATCACCATGCCTGGTCCCTCAAATGCCCTGAAAGGCATATTAGACTACAAAAGCCAAATAAACCTGACTTTGTCCCAAGTTCAATTCCACCAAAATCCCAATCAATTTACAATGGGAATCCTGATCAGAACCGGACACCAGTTGCCTCGAAGAATTTTACAAAGAAAATTACAAACTCAAATAGACTATACTCAAAAGTAGTCACAAATTCTTCGACAGAGACAATACACCCCATCCAAGAAAGACCTTCAGATTCACAGAGTACTCCTTCCGTTGCACCTCCCTCAGAAACCTACTCAAAGAATATTGATACTCTTACTTCCTCATTAGAACGAATAATGGAACAAGCCAACCAAATGATTAATCGTTTGGTCCAACTGATCAGCAATTTTAATTCGATAATGACAAATCTACCAAACATTATCAAGACCCAAGTACCCTCCTTAGATTTAAATCCTTCCTCACCGGAAGCATCATTCTCTCTCTCAGAGGTTGATGTAGTAGAATTTACAGAGGAACCTCTGGAACAACTAAAAAGAAAACATCCTAATCTAGAAATATTTGCATACAGTAGTCAAAATGAAAGCTTAGCCGGAACTTCTCCTCCAAGAATAGAAATTCCTTCTCCTACAAACAACAGAACTAAGAACAATAACAAAAACGACTATGGATACTAAGAACAAACAAATTAAAATATTGCAATGGAACATAGGTGGATTAAGGAATCACCTACCTTTTTTTAAGGACTCCCTTTTCCTCCTTTCACGAGCACCTAAACAGCGACCATTCAGCCTTAATCATTACTATAGAAATACCTAGGATGAACTCCCCACCTTACCAACCAAAATGGAATACGCACAAAGCAAACTGGGGTAGATTCCAAAAACTCATTGAAATATGGGCTTCTTCCTATCAAATTGGTGACAAAACTTGATAAACTAGAAGAAGACTTCAAAACAGCAATCACAGAAGCTGCCAACTCCGCGATTCCATTATGTAAACCCTTTTCCAAAGAGCACCAGGATCACCGCCTTCGTTTAGGTTACAAATGTAACTGGGAGATTGCAGAGAGAGTTCTCAGAGAATGCAGCTACTGTCAGCAAGAGACCACCGAACCTCTCTTACACTACCTTCTAAGCTGCAAAGAAATTGAACACTTCGACCAGCTGAGTTCCAACTTACACAACTAGATGACATCGCCCTTGCAACCTCATCAGCACAAGAGTTCGCCAAAAGACTCTTAGAGAATACACCTTAGGACTTATTCATCTTTCCACCACCAAGATGAATTTATTAAACCAATCTTTGTTTATTTACATATGACAGTCAAGGTTTGTTTGTTTATTCACAAATGACTTGTAACACTTTAAATCAATAAATCAAATCTTTGTTTATTCACAAATGACAATAAAGAAATTTTTGTAACACTTTAAATCAAGAAATAAAATCTTTGTTTATTTACAAATGAAAATCAAGGTTTTTGTAACATTTTAAATCAATAATCAAATCAATGAAATCAAGGTTTTTGTAACACTGTAAATCAATAATCAAATCTTTGTATATTTACTAATGAAAATCAAGGTTTTTGTAACACTGTAAATCAATAATCAAATCTTTGTATATTTACTAATGAAATCAAGATTTTTTGTAGCTTTTTAAAAATAAATCACTTATGGGTAGCCTAGGGCTTAACCCGTGTCAGAGTAAATGCCTGACAAATCTTAAAAAAAAAAAAAAAAAAAAAAAAAAAAAAAAAAAAAAAAAAGGCGGATCATCTTCTCGTTTACTCGCAGCAAGACAAGTCGCTACCATGACTGGACGTGGAAAGGGCGGAAAGGGTCTCGGAAAGGGGGGCGCCAAGCGTCATCGCAAGGTGTTGCGTGATAACATCCAGGGTATCACCAAGCCTGCCATCCGTCGTCTTGCCCGTCGTGGAGGTGTCAAGCGTATCTCTGGTCTCATCTACGAAGAAACCCGTGGTGTCCTCAAGGTATTCCTCGAGAACGTGATCCGTGACGCCGTCACATACACCGAGCACGCCAAGAGGAAGACCGTCACCGCCATGGACGTCGTCTACGCTCTCAAGCGCCAGGGACGCACCCTGTACGGTTTCGGAGGTTAAACGTTTTCAACAAGATCGAAAACGTCAACCACCAAACGACAACCATTACCACCAAAAACCTTGGACCTATCTTAGGTCCTAAAATTATTACAGAGATATCATCGTTGACTCACTGTTTGCCTCTTGCTTTATTTTTTTAAGTGTTTGATTTAGTTAGTTAGCTTTTGGGCTTGTCGGCGTTAGAGGGAGCATGTTTCTGGGCAAAAAATCATTTACTTACAAAGAAAGAATGACAGAGTTTACCATACATTCATACATGGATAGAATCAATGCAATTATAGGCCTATGGCAACTTGTTTGGGTATCAGAGAGTGAAATAGATCCATGTTGTAAGGGGTGACTATTTTAAAACAAAACACACACACTCTTATGTTGACGGTTATTATGAGTGGGTGTCTATTATTCAAGTCATATCAATAATTTTTGCCTGACACGACTCGACTCGATATATAGATTGGTTGTTTGTATACATTTATTGAGCGTTATATAGTTTTTTGTGTACGAGGGGTGGTGGATTTGTGTTAATACTAACTAACTACAAGGATAGCTTGACTTACAATATTGAAGAATCAATAGTAGCGTCAATGTTGCAGATGAAGTGAGCATCATATTGGGGATGCACATGTTTGTTTGCTTTAAATTACTAGTATGTTCGTTAGTTATATGTATATGCATGAACGAAGTCACAAAGCAAGCAACCAACAAATTATGAATAACTCAAGTATTGTGAGTCTTTCAGTCATAAACGTTTATGGAATATAATTGAAAGAATATCAGAGCTATGTCACAAACAAACACATTCAAAACATTCATTCACACTCAATCATATAATCAATCACATTAACAAGCATATTCAAAGTCAATACACATCTCAAACACAAACCAAAGACAAAGACAAAAAAAACAACTACTTGTATCAAGCATGAACACAGCAGAGCAGACCACACCACAGCATAATCATACACAAGGACCAAACAACAAACACAACAAAAATGTAGTCAGTCTGTCACTTACCAAATAACCAGCT